TTTCAAACAAACAAGTGCTACTAGATTGTTTTGAAAGGAAGATTTTATGGAAAATCTTTGGTGCACAGTATGATCCCATAACACAAGAATGGTGCGTGAGAACCAATGAGTTATATCAATTGTACGGAGACCCAAGACAGACGCAGGAAATCAGAGCATAGTGACTGTAGTGGCTGGGCCATTGTGAAAGAATGGAAACCATCTGGACGCAAAGAAAATGCTCCTTGGGGTGCTACATGGGAGAAGGTCTCTTGGACCACCAACATGAAATAGCTAGATGATGTAGTATCAGACCTACAAAAATGTGAATGACTGGAGAATGAAGGCATACAGCAGACAGGAATGGATGAAGGTAGTGGGGGTAGCCAAGGGCCTCTCGGATATGTAGTATTAAATTGTTACTGGTGGTGGTATCTTAGTAGTCAATCAAAATAGGCCTAAAGGCTGTTGACTACAGGGACTGATCTTAAATCATGAGCTAAAAAACCTAGCTGTCTCCTCTTAAAATCAGTACTGGATCCATAAACATAAAGACCAAACGCTTGGAGTAGGGTAGATCAACAGTCTATTTGTCTAGATTATGCGTGGATAAAGTAGATTACATTATATGTGTAACTGTATCATATTTGAGACCAATAAGTAGCCTTTTTTGTAAAAGAAATGCAATATCATACTTCCAGAATTTTTTTTAATAAAAGCAAAATAGGAATAGTTTCTAACAGATTAGAACATTTAAAACTGTTAGATGGAATGCTACTGCTGTGAATGGGAATGGAGGGAACTGGAGTAGTTCCACCATTAGCTTCATGTATTCAGTTCATGGTCTGAGAACTTTACCTTAAAGATTCTATATAGAATATTGATCTTGATTTTTATGTTTGTGAATCTAAGATTTTTATTTCTTCACGTGTAGATTAAAACTTAATTGCCTATTGCTTTTATGACTGAGTACAACATGTAGGCCAGCAAAATCTTAAGACCTATATTACTCCTATTCTTCCCCCCCCCCCATACATTTTACTGCAGGTTTACCTTAAAATATAATCAGGTACACAATTTTGTAATTAAATATTTGTATGAATAATTCAAGAACTTGAATCAGAACTATGCTGTTTTTATGATTTAAGACATTAGCTATCTTTTATTAAGCATTTTATTTCTATATGCAGTTATGTGGACATGTTTACACATGTTCCTGGATGTGGAGCTGGGTACTTTAATTAGCAAGCCATGCTAATTAAAAGCGCCTGCACGTCACATGTTTCAATGTTGTTGTGCATCCCTGCGCTGAAAAAATGGTAGTGGGGAACTTTGAGTTAAAGCTTATTGGTTTTATTTCAAAGTGCCCTACTGCCATTTTGTTAACTCGGAGATGCATGGCAATGTGCATCAGTTTCTGTGCTCCAACAGACTTGATTAATCGAGCCTGCTTAGTGTGTCAGAGCAGGCTTCCTGCATGTGTATAGGAGCCCTATCTGTTCAGCTTGGATTCCTTCTGTGTCTGTTTTGTTATATTTTCTATTTTTAAATGCTAATAAATGAAGATATTTTTCTCTTTATTTTCTGCTACATTTTCAAAGCTTTCCAAAGATGAAACGTAAAGTTGCAAATCTTTGCTTACAAAGTGGCAGACTGTACTTCAATTAACATTCTTGTCAGAATCATTGTGAACATAACTGCTGAATGGGCTTCTAGTACATACTTTTATTCCTTTCTTCTGCTTCTGACTTGGGTAATGAAGTGTAGATGTGGTTGTTATATGCCAGTTGGGCAAGAGCCAAAACCAAGATGTTTGTACATGTTCAGATATTGGCAGGATTCCCTTTATTCTTGTTGTCAAAGGATCTTTTTATTGCCACAGATGTAAATATTTCTCTGTTGCAGTATGGTCTATAGATACTGCATTTGGGAAGGCTGCTTTTAAACACAGTAAGCCAAACCTGGAATCTCTGACAGGAGTCACTAACTACACTACGTATTGCGAAAGGGAAGGTATCTATGGAATTCTACAAATGCTACTGCCCATAGACTTAAATGATAAATTCTTTTGCACTTACCTTTGGTAGACGTATTATGAATTTTTAGCTTTGTCACACATCTCCTATAGGTGCCTGAAGAAGCTGTATTTTCCTTCTCTGTTCCAGTGTCCTGACTGCTGTGGTGATGGGGAAAGGTCAGAGCCAGTCTCCCTTATACTAACAGTCAAAAAACTTCTTTGAAGGGAGAAGTAGGAACTCTCCTTTCGATAACTAGGTATACTTTGCAGCCACAAACACATCTTTGTAATTTCTATGACCTGGGATTAAAGCAATAATGATTCTTAAGATTTGTTAAACTTTGCTTTGCCAGTGCTTTTGAATGTAAGGCATTCTTTATCAGGACCTGACGAAGAGTGCCTTGCATTCAAAAGCTTGCCTGATTTTACCCAACTACATAGTGGATCCAATAAAAGAGATCCCCCTACAAAATCCTTGCTTCTTGCATTTAGATTATCATAGTTTAAAGTTAGAAAGCAAAAGATGGGCTTTCACCGTATAAAATGAATGTAACCATACTATTCTCTCACATAAGTCAGCAACCAGGTAAGTATCCTTAATTTAGAGCTTGTTACGTGAGTTTCAGGAGTGATTCTAGGCACTGCAGTAGATTCTCAGTGCATTATGCAACTATTTAATAGCAGCAGAATACTGGTGATTGGAACCCTGAAACATTGGCTCAGAGGAATATGATCTTATAATAATTAAAGATAAAATAACTAAAATTGTGTGTGTTGCCTCAAACTGATTTTGTTTTCATGGAAGAGACCTGAATTTTGACTCTAAGATAATTTAGTGTGAGGAGTTTGCTAACTTATATTTTTGTAAAAATAACAAGGGCAGGGGAAGAAGTATTTGTTAGTTCTTCCCTGGTTGCCTTCTGTGTTGGATTTTATGGCCTAAGAAATAAGAGCAGTAAATTGCATAGGAACTTAAATAGCAGTTAAAGGTGAGATTTGAACTCTTGGTCTGTGTCTAGACATGCAGGCATGTGCACTTTGTGGCTTCACAGACTGCATGCAAGGAATGTTAAAACGTCCTACACTGCAGATTTGCAGCATGGAGCCAAAACTTGCAACTGGGAAATTTTGGTAGCAAAAAAAAGTGGTGTGTCAGAAGACATGGAGGCCTGGTTGCCAGCCAGAGCATCTCTACTCTTACAGTTGTGCCCTGGCTCTCTAGCACTATGGGAGCTGGGAGGAGCTGAGCCAGGGCAGTTTGCCTGAAGCAGGGCAACTTCTCCCTCACCAAAGTGCATGTGCAGGGGTGTGCACTGCTGCAAAAAGTGGCTGTACAAGTTTGTGCCACTACTACTTTTGCTGCTGGAAGTGCACAACCCCGCACATCTGTATGTGGTCTTGGTATTCTTCTGAAGTAGTCTGAATAGGGAAGAGCAGGAATGCACCACTCCTGAAGAGTTGTGGTGTGTGTACCATGCTAGACTTCAGACACTTTTTTGGTAATAAATACAACAAAAATCATGTGAAGATAAAACTGAAATCTGTAACGCAATATAACTTGAACTATGATGAAGCTACTGCTGCACTCTAGTAGCTGTGTTCAAGGAGTTTGGTCAGGCATTGATATTTGGTGACTTAGCTAGGAACCAGCACTTGTAAACATTTTAATAGTCCATGACTGCTAAATGTTTAACAAATACATTTGGCCTCAGTGAGTGCTACATGTTCATTCATGCACACTAACTGCACATTTAGTTTAGTTGCTTAATGAAGTACTATCTAAATGCAGTAATTACAGTTACTGCACAGTAGCTCTGGCACATGGTTTTTTCATGATGGTTACTGCGTAGTAGCCTGATAACACTGCACAGTAGCTTATTAGCATCGCTTTTGACTGGCATGCTACGGTGCAGTATTATTGGGTTACCTCCACAATAGGTATAGATGCACCACTAAGTGCTGCATTTTACACCTCAGTTTCTGATTTTATAATGATAGCCACTTACTTTGGATCTTTTTGATAATTAAGTACTGATATTATAAAGGACTGGGTTTTCCTCTGGAAATCCTGCTTTTTTTTGTTGTTGTTGCCTTTTTTTAAATCCATTTGGTTACAGGTGCATCTGGGCACTTCTGTGCCCTGGGCAGTGGCAGTGCACAAGCAAGTGTGAATAGCTGGAGAAGTACTAGTGTTTGCAACCATGCTGGCAGCTCAGTGGCTGCTCTTTTTATGTACTTCTCCACCCTGTCCCCCAGCTTGGTGTCCAGGACCAATATTCCACTTGCATGCTATCCCACCCCACCCTTTGCTATGCTGCTGATTTTGGTTGCCTCCAGTTATCCATGTATGCCCATATTACTCACTGAATATTTGTATTGTACTTTAGGACCTTGTTATCTATGATCTTGTTCTCCTAGGAGCCTGTACCTCACATTTCTTTTTTTTTTAATTGTGTTATTGAAATGGAAGACAAGGAGCAATGCAGGTATAGAATTTCCTAATTTTTTTTACATATCCATATATTCCTTAAACTTTTCTGGAAGGTCCCCAAGTAAAATGGATCAGAATCCCATCTGAACTGGAGAAGAAAACAGAAAAGACAAGAGCAAGCCTGAGAAAAGCTTTAATATATGGAGATCACGCAGTAAATATTGAAAGCCGCAGGTTACAAGTAAAGTATTATTGTCAGAAAATACAACTGAACTAGTGCAACAGCAGGATTCATACATAAATTGCCAATGGTAAAAGATACTCAATTATCAAATGAGGCAATACAAATGAAAATGTATAATCTAATAGAAGATAGTTGCTTGTTTCAGAAGTACGTATAAAATATTCCTTCTGGTATCGAGGTGCAGAAGTGCATTTAGGTTAGCTTAATCCCCTGTTGTGATTACTAGATTCATAAGCATTTTACATCTTGCATATATTTCAGACTTTTAAAATATACTAATGATCCTTTATTTTGTTTACTAAAAAAAAAAAAAATTTGTTCATATGCAGAGTTTTCCATCTGATGAGGGCTGGCCATTTGCTAAATACCTAGGAGCATGTGGAAGAATGGTGGCTGTCAACTATGTTGGAGAAGAACTATGGAGTTACTTCAATGCACCATGGGAAAAACGAGTGGACCTGGCCTGGCAGTTAATGGAAATAGCAGAGCAACTGACTAACAATGACTTTGAATTTGCACTCTACCTCCTTGATGTTAGTTTTGACAACTTTGCAGTTGGACCTAGAGATGGGAAGGTTATTATTGTAGATGCAGAAAACGTTCTGGTGGCAGACAAAAGGTTAATCAGACAAAGTAAGTTGTTTTCCCTTTTATAACTGTATGCTTAAAAAAATTAAGTCTTAAAAGCATGTGAAGCTGCCATATATTTTTTTGTAACCAGACCCTTTGGTTTTACAAATAGAATTTTGATTGGTTGAGATATAAAACGCTTCATAAACCTCTTGAAGGAAAATTGGTAGGTTCACAACTACACCGATTCACCTGAATTTAACATTTGTATTTGTAAAAGAGAAGTATCTAAAGTTGGGGAAGGATTAAATTACCTGATGCCACCTAGCAAAACTGCCTGTTGCAGACATTAAAAAAAAAAATCGATGTTTTTACTCCATTCTTTTCCCTGTAATAATGTCTCCTGTGCATGCCTTTCGACTTCATGTTCCTCTAAATCTTTTTGTGTTATGCTTTGTTTTCCAATATCGTATTCTCTTCATTGGCTCTGCTGCATTCATTTCATTTTTAAATTATATAAAATGCCTTGAGTTGGAGATTGTCTTGCTCTTCATGACAGCATTTGGGGTAGAAGCCAGCTTCTCTTAATTTTCAGTTACTGGGCAGATAGCAGGAATCACAGCCCACACTCTAGGAGTTGTCCTTTGTCAAGGGTTCCGTTATCTGCAACATCCTCCCCCAGTGGGTATTTGAATTTGATCTCTCTTACCTCCTATAGCTGTAGCTGAGAATGCACTTTTGTTTCTTCAGGTTGCTCAAAACGTGTATAAATCACTGCTTCTATTTCTGAATTACTTTCAAGACCCTGTTCTTCAATTTATGCTACCTTTCCATCCAAAGCTATATCTTTTTTAAAATATAACTTAATATTCCACATTTTTCAATATGCTTGGATAAAATCCCAGTGGAGGACACCAGTAAATCCATTTAATGTATTGGTATATTCAGTGCGTTGATTTCTGCATAGCTGACTGCACAAACTAAGCCTGATAAACATATGTTGCTAAGATTTGAGTAAAAATGTATATATGTGTTTTGGGGGAAGGAGGAAAGCCATTGCAAACTTAATGATTCCTGTTTTGGCAATAGAGTTGTATCTGGACTCTAAAAAGGGGACCTGCCTCCAAGGACCAGTTAGGTCTTACTACAGTACAGTTCGAAAAAGCACACAGTATTCAGCAAGTAGAAATGTAGCGTAGCTTTTATTCATACTATGAGTCAGATGATCAGACATGTCAGCAGCATGGATGGTTAAGGCTAAATAAAAATCCAAAGTGCATTTTTCTTCTCTTTTTACACACGTAGAAATGCTTTCATCAAGCCCACATTGCCCATACATGATCAATCCCATTTAGTGCTATGCATCTTACAGTTTGGTGATATGTACCAGATTTTGGTTGTAGAGTTCTACATTTTTTTTCTTACCTACTGTGGCAAGTTGTATTGAGCGCATCCAGATGAGTGTGCAAGTGTGGTTTGTGGCACTGAAAACCCATCTGCAGCACCATAAACCTCATGCGCTGCACATGTACGTGTTTGCCATACTGCAAATTACCAGCATGGTGGGTTTTTTGACACTGGGATCTCCTAATTTAAAAAAAAAAAAAAACTGCACCAGAAAAAAGCAGGGTGGCGCATGTGATGCAGTGTGCACTGCCTCAAATGGGAGCCTGTCTGGGCAGAGCCATGGTCCAGCTGCCGGCTAGCCTCTGTGTGTCTGGGTTGCTGCTGCTGCAGGCCCGGGAGGCTCCCAGACCCCAGGTGAGGCTGCTGGATGGCCCCAGCCTCCCCTACCCCACCTGGGACAACTTGGCACATGCCAACACAGCACTTGACTTATGGCCTACACAGCACACTTGACACTACCTAATAAGGAAAGTGTTTCCAAGACAAACTAGGACCTATAGAAGTTTTTCCAGGCAAGTAAAAGGAAGCTGTGGAATACTGAACCATTTAAGGCATCTATTCCTCAATTATAATCAATATAATTATTTTGTTAGAAGCAAATTTTCTGATGGGTATCTTTGGGGAAGCGAGGGGAGGCTGCCAGGGTTATTGGTGGAATACTGTGAGAGTCTTGGTATGTATATTGAAGCAAAGCATGGAAGTTTTGGCTTTACCTGTGTAACGTTTATGACTTAGTGTATGTATCAAGTCCAGAGCTGTGAGAACACACTTGGAGGTTTGTTGGGTTTTTTTAAAGCCTAAAGATTCAGAGTGAAAAGCCCATTTAGTGAAGATTATTCAGGTCACTTTTCTCTTAACATGTGACTGTTTTTTACTTTTATTTATTTATTTTTTTATTTATTTAATAACTAGATTGAAGGCCTAACCACAGCATAATGAGATTTATATTTTTAAAAATACATGCATTTCTGTAATCTTTTTGGTTTCTATGGAAATTCTAAAGGATCTGTATAGTTTGAAATATAGTGTACTTGAGGGAGAGAAAGTCATTAGTGTTTTATGGCAAACTAGATTCTGTAGAGTCTACGGAATTGTAACATATCCTGCTGTTTACTGCTTGATCCTTATTAGCATTTCTAATGATCCTTAAGATAGTAATTTAAAAATTCCACTTAGTGTTTATAGATTAATTTGCAGTTTTGCACTTATGGCATTCATGTCTTAAGGACTCTTGATGTGGATTACAGCTTAACTTTGACACACAATAAAGTTTTCCTTAAAGTTCAGTAAATAAGTAGGAAGTTTGAGGGGATAATGCAGCATAGCAGGTGCGCTGTTGAAATATTTTATTCCCTTTCTGCAGGATTTTTGCTTATTTTAATTTGTTTGGTCTTCACATCCTCCTTTTAAAATTAATTACATTTCTCTTACTTCAGAGGGGAATATGGAGAAGGCTTGTTAGAAAAGTTTAAAGGAGTTATTTTTTCTTGTAGACCAATTAGAATAGCTTCAATTGCCCTAGGACAGGGGTAGGCAACGTTTTTTGGCCAGAGTGCCGAACAAACCACAATGTTCACCTTGGAAGGTACTGAAGTGCTGGCATGCCAGAAAAAATGAGAGTTGGGGGGAGGGGTACATGGCAAGACGCAGCGCATACAAGTATGTTTAATAATCATAAATGTTGTCTTTGTTGTTGTGTGTTCCTTGGGAAGGAACAAGATTTGGGTTCCTTGTTGTTGTGCAGCTCCCCCCACCCCACTGCTTCAGTACCCGCATGTTAGGGGGAGAGAGATGCACACAACACCCAGAACCAGACACATCTGCACACACAGAACAAGATGTGCAGGTGCACGGAGCTGGACTGATGGGCCACCGGACAAAGTCTGACCCAACAATGCCCTGGGCCTGCCACAAGCCCTGTGCTTCCCTGGGGAGCCAGGCCCCAGGCTGCTGCACAGCCAGCCAAGGCCCCAGCCCCCATCAGCCCAACCACCCACCCACTCCACACACCTAAGGCCCTAAGCTGGCACGACCATTCAGGACATCTAAACCATTATCTCCAGAGAGGCTGGGAGAACACATGATGGCGCATCCCCACCACAGTCCCTCCACGCCGGTGCTGGAGCAGCGGACATAGAGGGGCATCATGGAGTGTTTTACCCCAGGAAAGCAAACCAGACTGGCTCTGTGCTGACAGTGCTGCATATGCCACTGGGTCCAGGGCACTGCTCTGGTGTCAGGCCAGTACAGCAGGGAAGGGGAGAACTGGGCTGGAGTCAGGGGAGTCTGTCCTTGTATCCTGAAGGGACTGAGGCAGTAAGCCAGAGCTGCCTCATGGGCTCCTAGGGCATGACACCCTGCCCCGCTGCAGACCCTGGCTCCAGGGAACAAATCCCACCCTCACTCTAAGCTGCAGTGCACAGAGGCACGGGTGAGTGGAGGACTTGCCCATGGCCATGCAGGTTGGCAGTGACAGAGCTGGGGCCACTGGTCTGGGGTCCCAGTAGGAGACTGGAACAGCCCCAGGTTGAATTGTTCCATGAGCAGCAACCATGTGGCTGTGCCCAGTGTCTCTGAGAGCTCAGGTTCAGAGGAGGGAAGCTCCTTCCTGCCAAAAACGATGTCCAGAGGCCAGATCACCTGTCCTGCTGTCTGCCCCAAGGTGCACGTGCAGTCGCCACCAGCATAGAGCTGTGGAGCCCGGTGCAGCTGTTTGCAGCCTTTCCACTGCTTGCTGCAGCTGCCCAGAGCCCCTGCTGGCTACAAGCAGCTGCGCCGGGCTCCGGAGCGCAGTCACCAGCTCTGTGCCAGGAGTGGGGGAGAGACCAGGGTTGCACTGCCTCGGGACCCTCCCCCACCATCTGCTTGCAGCAGGGCTTGCAGCCTCCCAGCTTCCTGCTGGGAGCAGCCCGGGCTCCATGGCTGGCAGCAGCTACCCAGAGCCAGGGCTGGGCATAGCGTGCCAAGGAAAATGGCCTCATGTGCCATGCTCAGTACACATGCTGGGGGTTGCTGACCGCTGCCCTAGGAACTAAGGAAGCAAACTTAGCTGCATTCCTAAAATGGATCAATTCATGATCTCTGTTTCTTCTCTGCTGTTCCTGTGCATCTTTTCTTTTTTTCTCTCATTTTTTTTTTTGATCTATTAACTTGAATTTTTATTTCTCTTTTTAGATGCATTTTTTGCTTTGATCTCCTTGTGGTACCTTAAATCCTGTTTTCTTCCATTTTGCATTGCCAGGACTCTTCCTTTAGGTGGGAAGCACTTCGTATGACTTCGTAAATCTGAAATCTAGAACACCCCCCCCACCCCCATAAGCGTGTCTTTTTGTGAAAATAGCTTAATTTTTATCAGTTTCTTTCATACTTGGTTTCTGGTCATGTTTTAGTTGTATTTATTTCTCCTATTTTTTCCCATTGCTTATTTATTATGTCTTTCACATTTTACAGATAAACCTGAAAACTGGGATGTGTGGTACGAAAGCAAGTTTGATGACTGTGATAAGGAAGCTTGCCTGTCCTTTTCAAAGGAGATTCTTTGTGCTCGTGTCACTGTGGACCACAATTATTATGCCATTTGTCAGAACCTTTTATCAAGACATGCCACATGGCGTGGCACTTCTGGAGGACTACTTCATGACCCTCCAGCTGAAATTGCCAAAGATGGCCAACTTGAGGCCTTGCTGGATGAGTGTGCCAACCCAAAGAAGCGATACGGTAGATTCCAAGCTGCAAAAGAACTACGTGAATACCTTGCACAACTGAGTAATAATGTGAGGTAGTTCATGGTGAAGCTCCTGTTTTGTAACACTGGCTATAAGACTGTCGCAAAGACGCATGGAAAAGTGAGGTCTCGAACTTACGTAGTCAAAAGGGAACTTAAAAGAATTAAAGTAGCTGATCAATTGTATAAATGCCATAATTCATTTTATGGTGTTTTGATGGTGTTCCTCTCCAAACTGACAAGGTACTTACCGAATTAAAACTTGAGCTACTATTGACTGTTCTCCCTCATTGTTAAAGAGGGGAGTCGGATGAGAAAGACTTATAGCTTAACTGACAGCTTGTTCATCAAAGGATACTTTACATAAAACTGCATTAGTATTACAGTTTTGTGAAGTTGATGCTTTTACTTGGAAAGTCATATTAGACTGGCCTGTTTTAAAGGCCTTTTCCTGATGTCATTGTTTCCATTTTTGTGTTTAAACGCTTTTTAAGTAGCATTTACAAACATACAGGTAAATCTAGGTGTTTGCATTGTTTCAGACTTAACAAGCTTTTTTTTAATGCTGTGCAGTACATTTTTACTGTGAGCACAGGATTCCCATGTTTACTGTCTAATCTTATTTCTTTTCACTGTATTGTGTGTGTATTTTTTTAAAGGATATGGGCATAAAAAGATTCAAATGTCCTATGAACCATATTTTGACTTTCGTAATTTTGCCTCTGCAGATATCACTTAATGTAATTACTGTACAAATTTTCAACCCTCAATGCCAGTTTCTACACATGGCCGGCCATTCAGCAGGAAATCATAGAATGAACAAATTTGCTTCTCATAGTGATGGTAACTTGAGGCCGGAGGGGAGAATAATGGTATAAATCAAACTTAACTTGAGGATAGGAGCTTGACTAGAAGTTTCACAATCCAGTGTAGTAAAGCATAAACCAAAGAAAATGTTTATGTGTACAAGTCTCTAGACTAGTTCTTAAAGCAAAATTATGTACTATAGCAGCACTAATCTTTTTGGAAATTAAAGTTTCACTGGGTCCCTAGTTACTGTTTGCAGGACTCTTAAACTACTAGTTAATGCCTGAGAGAAACCCAAATTTAAACTTTAAGAAATGTTTACCAGGTTAGCATTTGTTCTGCATCATTCACAGTTCTGTTGAATTCAGTACAATGAAACTTACTGAATGTTCACCCATGGTTTTAACAGTTAAACGTATGTAGTGTTCACTGTTGACCCTTCTTTGAATTAAGTTTGACTCTTTCAATTGCAGTTGGAATGGTCTTGTAATGGTTAGTGTAAACCTGAGATTGCTCCCATAAATCAGAATTTGCATAAAATATCAATCTTGGCCATGTGACTGACTTTTTTGGAAGCTTGCTTGGTTTTGGTTTTCTTCTATACAATTACTGCTAAACTATTTAATGTACTTGAAGTCTTGCTTATATTCCTAAGCAAATACTTGTGGGGAGAAGCTTTTGTATATTTTTGATTACTTGAGCAATTACAAAGGAAGGTAACAGTTCTATAAGACCAAGGTTTTGGCTAATTTACAAGTTAGGATGAGATGCACTATTTTTCATGACACAGCCAGTGACCATCAAAAGCTGCATCAAAAGACAACTAGAAATTGCTGCTGAAAAAATAGCTGTAAAAGGAAAAAAAGGCAAAATGAGGACAGCAAGGTATAAAACCAGGTTGTTGACTAGCTTTAGAAGTTGGAACAAGATGGTATGCACTACCATTCATGACAAAGCCAGCCTGACTGTCAGAAGCTACATCAGAAGATAAGTAGAAATTGCTGCTGAACCATATTTCCCTAAACAAGTGAAGATAACAGCAAATTGTCATTCAAAATTGGTTAATTTTTAAATCTTAAAATACTACTGAATAATATAAGTGTTATTTGGGGGGCGTTAATTGGTTATGGGGTGTTTTTTGTTAAAAGGGTATAGTCAGGATATTTTTCAAAGCTCTAGATTTTTACTTTTAATCCATTTTACATATGTATAATTTGCTTCTGTTCACTTGTCTTAATCTTGTATTCAGAACCTACTATGACATATATAGGTCTTAATTATTTTTTGTTTTTTCCCTTTTGGTTTTCTTTTCTTTTTTCCTACTGGATGACTGCTTTACCTGCTTTGGCACACACAGGGCTTTTTGCTACAAATAAGACTTATTTGAAGAAATGACCTTATATATCTGAGGTTAAATAACAATACCCTGCTACAAAAGCCTTTTTTTATCACTGATTTGTTTTTATTTTTAAAAAATCATCACAATTTTTGATGAATAGGTTGAATGTGTGATTGTTTAAGGGTTAAGGGGGGGAACAAAACCCAAAACACTGCCAGATCTGGTTACTATTTGAGGCAGTTGTGTAACTGCCATGGGGCACATCTACACGAGATGCCAAATGCGCAGTAGACTTTAATCAACTGCTCATTGGCATGTAACGGCAAAAGCAGTAGAAGCTAATGTGCAGTAGAATTAGCCTGCTATACATTAGTGTAACTTAAAAGGTGTGTGCTGGTGCTGCTGTGCAGTAGCGCCGGTTACTGCACAGTTAGTATGTGTTGTTATTAAGGTACTAAACTTAATGCACCTTAGCCATGGCTCATTAATGCATGTGTAGATGTGCTCATAAAGTCCCCTGTTAGGTATAGTTTGGGATTTACTTGCATCTGAAATTTGCTGGCAAAACTGCTTCTAAAAGGAAATTGAAATTTAAAAAAGAAAATCACTACAGGGAAAACACTATGTGGAAAGCAATAAATCTTGTTCAATTTGCACCTCTCAAATATTTATTGTACAATGACAATTTATATTTTTTAGTCATTGCCCATTAATATCGATGAATTTAGTGAAATATTTTTGAATGAGACATATGGGGTTTGTATGTGCATTAAAATTGTCTTTTGTACTGTAAGTTACTGTTTAATTAGAATATTTTATCAAAGCTGTCTCCCTGTGCCTTTTATATTACAAGAAAGTTGTTTCTGCAACTTCTAATGGTATTAATAAAGAGTATTTAAGAACTTCATCTCAGAAATTCATTTTCAGATTAGTTTTTTTTTTAAGATTCACTTACCAGTTATAAACAGTGTAACTTGTGGAAGTAGACTTTATACTTATTGGCCGCATCCCTACATGCAGGCACATGCATTTTGTGGCACCACAAACCTTTGTAGCGCCACAAACTGTATGCATGGAATATTAAGATGTCCCTGTGCTGTGAGGGGCAAATTCCCAGTAGCAAAAAAAAAAAAAACCCACTGGGGCAAAAAAAAAAATAATGGTGCTGTGCCCACAAAAGTAGTGTGCGCCAGAACAAACGGAGGCTTGGTCCTCCAGTGAGACTGACTGCTGGCCAAAGCATCTCTACTGCTCCATTTGTGCCCCAGCTGCTCCAGCACACTGGGAGCTGGAGGGAGCTAGGCAAGAGCAGTTTGCATAAAGCGGGACAATGTGTCCCACAACGAAGTGCATGTGCAGGGACATGTGCTGGTGCGCAAAGTAGCAATATAATTTTGTGCTGCTACTACTTGTGCTGCTGCAAGTGCATGCCCCTGCTCATCTGGATGCATCCATTGAATGTAGTATATGTTTAAGGGGCAGGTGGGGACACTCGTTTTTTCATATTTTAGACATTTATTCTACAAAAGTATGAATTTAATGGTTTATTGCACATTACCCTGTTAGAAATATTTATTGGAATAAGCACTAGTTTTCTTTCTAAAGAAAGAGATTTATCACTAGGGCATCAGTCTCTTAGCTTCTGAAACAGGAAGGTTTTAACCTTTGGATTGCTGTTTGTGGAACTTGTTTGTATAGGGAGTGTGTTAAATCCTGCCAGTAATACTGTTTTTAGGTAGGATACAGTGGTTAACATTTTGAATTTCAGAGGAATTTTTGGAGTGATAAGGTTTAATGTCTCTTCTAAGTTTTCTGGGAAGTATTCTTCTCATTTTGAGACAAAGGTGCTTTGAGAGCTGCAGACTTTCTTTTCTGCTGCTTGAGTTTCCAGAAATAGTGAGGTATGAAATCTGCATGCTGTTTTTGGTGCACTAGAGTGACTCAGCCAGCTTTGGCTGAACTTTGCCTTCCAAATCTAGTTATAAAACGAGAAGAGAAACATAATTTTTGAAAATACAAAGAAGTTAATATAAATAGTCCCAAAACCTTGTTTCATTATATATCCTTATCCTGTCAACTTGACCCCAAGAGCAAACTTCCATGGAAGTACTCTTCACTACGAACTTTACTTTTCCTCACTGGAGTGACCAGATACAGTTGGATTCCCTTTTTTTGAACCACTACAGGTTATTTTGGCATGTAATTATTATTAAGTTTTAAGTCTTTATTAAGGCTTCCTTATCATGCGATCCTCTTTACAAGGTTATAGTAGTAGGTACTGCCCCCTGTACTGTAGCTTGGGAGTAAGTGGAGCAACAGATAATTGACAGAAAAGCCCAATGGTGAATTTATAAAATGTCAGTTTTTACCTTTCATTTCATATACAACATAAGAATCTCATAGATAATCACTTAACTAGGTTGTTTTTTCTGCTGGGTAATCACTTTTCTTGCTTTTTAAAAAGGTGCCTTTTCATAAATTTTGTCTGGCTCTAAGTTCCAGCCACTAGTTTTTGTTTTCATTTTGATAATGAAACCCTTTGGTACATGGTGGGTACTCCATGTGAAGATACTTCAATATCAAAATTAAGTAACTGGTTTATTTTCTTTTTGATAAACTAAACAGATTGTTTTCTTTAAATCTCTGACTGTAAAGTATTTTTCCCAGACCCGAAGTAATATTTGTGTGTCTTTCTGCATCCTCTACCTTTTTGTAAATTTGGACAACAGAACAAGGCCTAGTATTCCAATGTGCATCTTGCCAGTTAATGCAAAATCATTTGTTATTCCTGAAGTAAATCTCTGTGCTCCCTCTCCCTCACCCATAGCCTCTTAGGATTGTATTAATTCATCATGACAGTAGACTAGAAGCTTATGTTGCATTTGCCCACTGCGACTCCTGAAAACTTTTTCAGCAGCAAAGCTTTCCCAGGATGTATAGTCTCTCTGTAGGTATGAAGGGCGTTCTTTGTTTGTGAAGGTATCATAGAATCAATGAGTTGTTACGGACCTAGACAGATCATCTAGTCCAACTGCCTGGCATAGGCAGGAAGGAGCACTGGGGGTGGCAGGGGTCATAAGACCCCAGCCAGGTGCCTATCCAGTCTCCTCTTGAAGATTTCCAGGGAAGGTGAGAGCACCACCTCTCTGGGAAGCCCATTCCAGGCTCTGGCCACCCTTACCGTGAAGTAGTTCTTCCTAATATCTAACCTAAACCTATCCTCCCTCAGCTTGTGGCCATTGTTCCTGGTGACTCCAAGGGGGGCCCTGGTGAACAGACTTTCCTCGAGTCCCTGCTGGTGGCCCCTGATAAGGTTGTAGGCAGCCACAAGATCCCCCCTCAGTCTCCTCTTGCAGAGACTGAAGAGATTCAGGTCCCTCAGCCCCTCCTCATAGGGCTGGCCATGGAGGCCTTCGACCATACGAGTGGCCCTCCTCGTATGGCTTTCTATTGGAGTGTATGTAAAATGCATTGCTTATTTAGGTTCAGTTTACCTGCTGATCCAGACTGAATGACTTCTCTGTCTCCATAATTTTTCCCACCCTGTCAATCTTTGCATCATCTGCAAATTTTATCAGCAATGACTTTATATTTACTTCTAGCCAAATGACTAAAAGTACTGATTAGTGTTGGGCTTGGAATGTATTCTTTCAGATTTCCCCTGGAGATAATCATAGTGATGTTTATTTATTGAGGCTTACTTTCTTAGGTCTGTCAGCCAGGTCTTACTCTATGGTGTTCTCCTACATTCTATAAATTTTTAAATTTTTTTTTTTTTTTTTTTAAATTGGAA